AAAAATAAGGAAAAGAGGGAAAGATTGCATAATAAAATCAAATCTCCTAAAATAATCCATTTTTACAACATCCACTAATGAAATTGATAAAATAGTGAAACACTATGGTGAATTCCATTTCTAAAGCTTCTTCGTGATTGATTAAGGTTCTAACAGTAACAAAAATTCGAAGAAGTTGAAGAATGGAAGGTTTAAATTTGATGGTGTTGCAGAGTACAAACACTAGAGATGAAGATTGGAAATAGAGAAATAATGTAGTAGTCAATCATGAGGAAGTTATGATATTTTGCTTCAAGATTTTGCATTTTTTTTCTACCTAGTACTAGCAGTCAATCAAACTGGATTGTAATCGTGAAATTTTCTTAGTAGTTTATGTTTATTTGCTCACTTTTATTTGGTCTAATTTTAGGTTGTTGCAAGATTTAATGAAATTGTTACCAAACCCCTGTTGGAGGGAGCTTTGGGTACTTTCAAGAATTATTCAGTTCAAGATGAGGACATTGATGTAAGTAACTTGTCTCATAAATTCTTGGCATATTGATTATTTATAATATCACAATGTTGCTTTTGTAATTTGGTTAGTATCAATGACTTTAGTATTTATCTTTTTCTGATGGTTTTGCAATGAGTCTCCTCTAATTGTCCTCTTTGAAAATTTATTGTTTTTCTCAATTATTTTGTTCCATAAAACATTCAGTTTTATTGAAATATATGAATTAATGCAAACTTATGCATGCTTTTCATAGTAGAGGCTACAACCTAAAATGCATGGATATGACATAGGACAGGGATATAATATGACACGAAAATGAGAACTCGACAAATTTTAAACATTATACACAAGATATACAAAATATAACATTAAAGTAATACATAAATTTTATATTAAATGAGACAATCAGTGTTTTAAAAATGAGCAAAAGTCATAGTAGACAAAATAAATTCATACCATTTATCCAACTTGTGATGTTCTCATTTGAATTGTGTAATAGTTTAAATAATTAAGGTAAAATGTTTGAAATGTCTGACATAGATACATGATTAACCCAAGTAAAACATGACAACTATTATTTTGAAGTGTTAATATTGTGATTAAAAGGAAAGGAAGATGTTGAAGTGGAATATGTGGTTTTGGCTTTTCACATAAGAAGAAAATCGCCTAAAGTTATGGAAGTCGTGATTGTAATAGACTAGGTTCATAGTTTTAGGTTTTGGTTGGTTGGGTAGGTTAGAGTTAAGTAAAGGTAATCCTCTAATGTTAATGGTTTCTAAATCAAGAACTAAAATTAAAATGAACAAGTTTTTTATAAAGAAAACAACCAAGTCGAAGTTTGGAGTTTGAGAAAAGTTTTTAAAGGTTTCAGAACAAATTTTCTGAAATAATTGATTACCAAAATAGAGTAAGCGATTACATGAGTACATGATTTTTTCATAAGTCTAAAATGTAATTGACTACATGAACGAAGTAATTGGTTAAATGGTTTTCTATTTAACCCAATCATTCAAATAAGGGTAGCTTTTTTCTTGGTACAGATAGGAAAGATTACAAAGATGATCACAATGGAGATCTAACCCAAGTCCCCATGCTTCTACTACCCCAACCCCTTCCCCTCGACAATTAGACTAACCCTAATGGTGTGATTACATAAAAGAGTTGGTGTTTTATGAAAATGTTTATAAATGTGTCAAGTTTTCCAACATTGGAACAAGTTGAATATGTAATCGATTACAAAAATTTTGTAATCTTAAAATTACGAAATGTTCTATTTTTATCGATTACACAACAATGTAATTGATTACGATACACATATTTTTAGTACTTGAAAATTACAACTATGATTAATGTAATCGATTACATGATCAATTTAATTGATTACATCAATGATATATTTTTTCTATATAAATCCAAACACCTTTCATTTTCAACACGAGTTCATAAACGTTTAGAAACACATGAAAGAGTTTTTAGAGAGAAAAATACATTTTCATCTTGAGAGTACAAGAAAGGAAACACGTGACAATCAACTTTTGAAAAAGTGTGAATTCATCATGGAAATGGTTTAGGGTTTACGATCAAAGGGAAAACTTCACTTTTAGGTTAATTCGTTCCTTTGCATTTTCTTTTAGGGAATCAGGTAGATTTCATGTTTTTAGGATCTTGAGTACCATGTAACAAGAGTGTATCTCAAGATAAGGTTTAGTGAGTCTACAAGGGTTCTCTAATTAGAAGTTTAAGCCAAAGGTTTCTATTGGGGTTATAGAAATACCTAACTCGGGGTGTGATTGGCTTACTTGGTCTATAATTACATTCTTGCATATAGTGGATGACCTGTAGTTTGGGTTGATTACGGAAGACTAGATGTAGCTTCGAAGAAAGTGAACCAGTATAGATTCTTGTGTGAATCTTTCTATCTCTCCTCTCCATTATCTTTTTATATCTCATTATTGCTTTCGAATTCTTGAAAACTTATGGTCTAAAACTGAATAGATTGATCTTTCTTAGTTGAATAAGTCATAATCATTTTAAAAGATCAAGATAGAGCATGTTTGGAAACAAGCTTATAAGGTCTATTAAGAGCTTTTGTACTGGAAAACACTTTTTATTTTCAGCAGAGTAGCTCTTAAAAGCACTTATAAACCGTATCCAATTCCAAACAGACTCTTAATCTTTTCAAGAATCAGATTTCAAGTGAATATATTCTAATTTGAAAATTGTGGGAAAATTTTCCACTGTGCATTTAAGATTTTTAAACACAAATTCAACCTGCTTCTTGGTGAGCCTAGCTTTTAACAGTTCATGCTTTCCATGGCTAAAACAAAATGGCTGGCAGTCATTTGATTTTTTGAAAACATTTACCAATTTTTATCTTAACAATTCTTTTCATTTATTTTATATTTTTATGTGTTGGCTTGGTGTGTTACTCATAGAATTCTGCATCCATTGGTCATGATTTTTGACAAAAAAATTATGTGCCATTGTTTTCACTCACAAAATGTTCAATAATGTATGACTTGGAGAAGACTTGCCTTGTTCTGAATTTTCATATCATTTATTTACGGAGTTGAATATTGACAGAAACTTGTTGCTTTCTCTTCTCCCTTAGGTTGTGTGGGTACCTGGTAGTTTTGAAATTGGAGTTGTTGCAGCAAGATTAGGAAAATCAGGAAAATATCATGCAATCCTATGCATAGGAGCTGTGGTATGATAAATCTTGACAAATAGATGAAATTGTTTTATAATATTTTTATGATTAATGAAAACCCTTTATCCATATTTTTTTAACTTAATTTGAGCTTCTACTGTGACCAATCTTGTTAACAGATACGAGGGGACACAACCCATTATGATGCAGTCGCTAATTCAGCAGCATCAGGAGTGCTTTCAGCCGGTCTACATTCAGGTGGTATTTTGTTAATCTCGATTATGATATCCAGATATGAGCAACTCTGTTTTCTGGGAAATGAAATATGCATGCAACTTTGGATGAAAACTTGTTTTTGTATAATCTAGATTCATGGCTGAGAAGAAACTCTTAAAATGTTATAATTATTTAATAAATAATATTTTTTTTCCTTCTTAAATCAGTAGCACATTTCACAAATTAACTTTAACATTGGTATTGACTGAATAAAATACTGAAACTGTTTGTTTCCTCTAAAGCTTGCAATATAAGAGTGCACCTGATTTTTATTTTCTTTTGGTTTTGATTAGGGATAATTATTGCTATTGTCTGTATTTGTTATCCGTTTTCGTTTTTTTTCTTCATATATTTCCAATTTTCCATCAACTTTGAAAATTGAAGCATTTGAGATGCCTTTCAGGTGTTCCATGCATATTTGGTGTCCTTACATGTGATAATATGGATCAGGTAAGTATTTTATGTTAAAGTTATGAAATTTATTCTATGCAGATGAGATTTATGATTACTTTGATTTTTATTTTTTGTTTTTGGATATGTGCAGGCTCTAAATCGAGCTGGTGGAAAATCTGGGAATAAGGGTGCTGAGGCAGCATTGACTGCTGTAAGTTGATAACCTGATATTATGAAGTAATTATGCAATAATCATTTAAAAATGGTTAAACCCTCACATTGGTCCCTGAAAGTGTCAAGCATTGACTGACCAGTCCCTTGAAAGTGATAAATTAAAAAAATACGATTAAAACCTGATTCCTTTGTTCTCGTTAGTCTTTGGGTGGATGTCACTTAAGTAACTCTATTAGCTGAGCTAATGTGGCGTTAAGTGCCACACCAGATGGTACTGTTCTTCCTATGATTTTTTGGGATACATGTTGATGACACCATGATTTTTGCACTAACAGTTGCTGTGACAATTTATCCACAACCCATTTTCTAGTTGCTTTTGATCCTAATCAACCTACAACAAGTATGTTCAGAAACAAAAGTCTTGATTTGGTAGCTACATTTAAGCTCATTCCATGCACAATATATTTGCCACCTATAGTCATTTTGATAACACTTAGTTCTTACACTTTGTCTGTCAGTTTTGATCCATTTACATTCCTCCTATTTTGTATGGTGTATTCCTTTTAAGGCTTTCTCAAAACTATCAACAGTATCAAACTCATTCCAAGTTCTTAATAAGCATTCTCAAATTTGGAACCTTCAGGGAATTGAGAAAAAACTGGTTTTTGTTTGTAACTTCCTTCATCATCTGTACTAATTGGAGTCCTCAGCTGTAATGAAAGATAGCCACCATCATTATAGCTTTCATCCTTATTAGTCTTAGAATGTGGGTTATGGGCCTAACTGAACCTTACAAAACTGGCTTGTAAAATAAAGGTTGTTTTTCACTTATATACTCTTTAATTACTTTATCTCTCTAGTCAATGTGGAACTTAGATTTTTCCCAATACACTCCCTTACGTTTAATATTATTGGACTTGGTACGTGAATAAATGATGAGTAGTCCTTTTTAATGATCTAGGATAGGCGGAACTTGGGTTTTTCGTAATACGCCTTCCTACGCCCAACACTATTGAGCTTGGTGTGTGTATCAATGTCTATATAGCTTTTATACCATCTTAGAATGTAGTTATAAGCCTAACTCAATCCTACAAATCAGCTTGTAAGGTGAGGGTTGTCTCCCATTTATATACTTTTTAATTATCTTATCTTTAGTCAGTATGGGACTTAGGCTTTTCCCCATAATTGGGAACCACAAACTTATTGTTGGTCCTTTCAACCCTTCCAAAACCTACATTCTTGGATATATAGAATAATACCTCAGGTTCAGGTACATCAGCTACAAGTTCCTCAAGAGGTACCTTGTGTGCAAGTTCATCAAAAAGTACCTCAGCTGCATGTTCCTTAGTAAGTACTGTAGGTTCCTCAACTGTTTGTTCCTCAGATGATGCACCAACCTCATCAGCAGGTTTCTCTTCATCTGCAGGTTCCTCTTCTTGTGCAGCTTCCTTAGCAGGTTCTTCATCACTAGGTACAACTAAAATTTATGGATCAGAATATACTAATATGTCTTTATTCTTGATGCTCGAAGCACATTGGCAAAGGTCTCTGATGTCTTTGTTAGTGGCAACTTATCATTCAAAGATTCCCCAGATAGTAAGAAAGCTATCTTCCTAGGACTGTTGTAATCTTTATACCATTCCATCATATCAAACAACATGTAAATGCACACAAAATCCTCATCAATTCCTTAAAAAAAAAACACCTCACCATCTTCATACAAAACATTTTCATCATCATCCACTTGAAATTTACCCCCATTGTGCAAAATAATATTTACCCCTATCAGAGAGCCCACATGCAGATGAATTTGGAACAAATAAAGGATGAGGAGAAATTGTGTATGCACAAGCAAAAGAGTTTCAAACAAACCACATCTAAGTAGTTATGCTGGATTTATTGCTTCGTAAGTTGGTAGGTGAAATCAGAATGGGGTAACGGAAAACTTCTCATTCAATGGAAAAGCAATAGAGGTGTTGCTTTGGATGCAACGGACATTTAGAAGATAATGGGGTTCAACTCAAAGTGGAAAAAAATTATCAAACAAGCAAGTGCAGCATTTGACAGGAAGTGAATGCCCATTTGGACAGATAACTGGCAAACCAAACATGCTCTATACAATTCATTTAACTCTCCATGTAAAAAAAAAAAAAACCATTATTGTTGTCTAGTTGTAAGATGATCCAATTGTTAATGGAAGCAAGGGCCAACAAACTCTAGCCATTGTAAGCTTTGCCTCTGGGCTAAAAGTATCAAAGTAATCTATGCATTCTGTTTGAGTATATCCTTTTGCCACCAACCTCGTCTTATATCTTTCAATTGCACCATCTTATTTTCTTTTAATTTTATAAGCCCATTTATTGGCTATGAGGTTCACTCTCTGGGGAACATCATGATCCATGTTTTATTGGCTTCAAGGGCTTTCAGCTCAGCAGCCATAGCATCCACCCAACAGGGATATTTGCTGCCTCATGGTAAGATTTAGGTTCAATGTTAACAGAGATAGATATAGAAGAGACCTTGTGCTTTGGGGAAAGGAAAGAGTATGATACGTGATTAATTAGAGATGGGATAAAGAACTTTGGGTTGGATGGTCATTTGATAGCAGAGATATTCTGCTAAATGGGAAGGAGATCATTTTGGTCTAGTGGATCTTCTAGGTGGCTCAAAGGAAGGAGGTAAAATCAGTTCAATGATAGTTGGGAATCACCAACAGATGCAGTAGGTTCAGGATTGGATAAAGGTGAGTGAGGTGGCTGAACAGAAACAGGTTATATGAGTAAAGGTACTATCGAGTGGAACAACAGAAAATTAATTCATGGAACTGTACATATTGTGAAACAAAGATTTCCCTTGAATGAATGTCATAAAGAGTGAATCTTTTCATGCCAGCCTTGTGGCCAAGAAAGACACTTTGTTGTTCTTGGATCAAATTTGGATCTATGTGCAGTGTTAGTTGATGCATAACACGGACCCAAAAGCTCGTAGATTCTCAATATTGGGCGATGAATTATGCAGCAATTGGAAAGGGGATTGATCACTAAGTAGCTTAGATGGAACACTATGTATTAAGAACACTGCATGAAGCACAACATAGCTCAATAAGTACTTGGGGAGACTGGATTGCATCATTAAGGCACGAAACACATTTAAAATGTATTGGTGCTTCCTCTCTACTTGACCATTTTGGTGTGCGGTCTCAACACTGCTTGTTTGACGAAGGATGTCTTTTGAATGCTAAAAGGTGACCATTGGCAAACTCAAACCATTATCATTCATAAGAATCCTAACGGTCTTAACTCTCAACATTGGGCTCAAACTGTTTTTCTATGATATAAATAAATCTCTGCAAATGTGATTGGGTCTCATACTTTCCATTCATCATAATTATCCAAGTAAACACTCTGATCAAAATGGTCAAAAAATACCTATATCCATGTATTGAAGCAGTTGAGAAAGGCCCCCAAATATATTCTCGTAACAATTCAAAACAATTAAGTGCTTTACTATTAAAGAAAAAGGATTTGTTCCTTGTCTAGCCAAGTGGCGCAAATGTCACAAGCATCATCTTTATCTAATTGAATAGAAGGTACTTGTTTACATAATTTTGACATATGATCTTGAGACACATGTCCTAACCTTAAATGCCATAAGGCAGTCTTTGACCAACAATTAAAAATTGAAAACGAAAGGGACACTACTAAGTATTAACATTAACATTAGTAACAATCTTGCTGTCAACTAATTGCTGCCCAGCTGGAACATTAGATAGTATAAGCCCTTTTGAAGAATCCTGAATTGTAGAAGATCCATCAGAGAATTCAAATAGACATTGTAATGAGGTTGCAAGCTTTGAGGTTGAGAGTGATAACAGATTGAAGGTAAACTCATGTATTTAAATGAGTGTATCTAAAAATTTAATGCTGCCACTGCCAGAAATTTCTGACATCACTGTATTTCTATTAGGCAATTTGACATGCACAGGAGTAATTTTATGGAATAAATGGAACCATGATTTACAAGAACCGACATGATCAATGGCACCGGAATCTACAATCCATAAAACTGTCACATTGTTAAGAAAAATACATTGAATACCTACATTAGTAGCTGCAGAAGACTGAAATCTTTCTTGTCCTCCAAACTCACTTGTTTGATACTACACATCTCCTGGTGCTCCCGAGTCTCTGTTAATGGCCTTTTGACATCCTTCAAAAGGCCTAGCAAAGCTTTGTACTCATCTGGAGTAAAATTGGGAATAGCCAATGACTTCTCTGCTGGTAACTCATCCTGTTGACAAGACTGAACTTCACTAGTGACATTATTGATTGAGTTTCCTCCTTTATACTTTGAACCAGGAGGGAAATCATGTTTCTGGTAACAAGTTTCTACTGTCTCCTGGCTTTTCACACTAGGTGCATATCTTGATGTTGTAATTGGATTTTCCTTTTTCATTAAATTTCTTTCCATCCATCTTATTCACCATAACCCAAACATCTTTAGGAGTTGTTAAACCATGCCGTCTTTCATGTTGTATTACCACTGGTCTATAATTCTCATGTTCTTCCCAGAAAACTTTCTGTTCTGTAAAATAATCTTTTAAAGAGAGTGAATTCTGTTTAAAAGAGTAAAGCTCTTGTTGAAGTTCGGCAATCCCCACCAGATCTCCCTGAGAAAACCGCTCTATCAGCAATTCATCACCCATGAGTGTACTATATTGCTGTGTCTCTCCCACCTCCCACGCATCAAAGCTGGGATCAAATCTCCCCAGAACTCCAATACTCCGGTCTAGAAAGCGATACTTATTCTTTGAGACCAAGGCTCTCTTCATTGAGCCCAAGCATGGTAGTTGTTAGTTTGTTACTATTCAGTGGCAAAGGAACAAGGATAGCTGCTGGGTTCACCCCAGGGTTTACATAATATGGAGATGCAGGATTTTCCGATGGATTAGTGAAGTGTGGTAGCCGATCATTTGAAACAGAACCCTCATTTGAACTAGAGTTGTTGCTCTGCATTGTTAACGATGGAAGAAGAGGAATTAAAGAAAAGACCAAATGAGAGAATATTGCTATTATTCTATCTCAGTGTATGAAATGTGAGGTAAATATATTACAGCAGAATTAGTAGGCATCGGACTAAAATCCTGAATTACTCGTAAAAAATTCTTAAAATATTGTAACATGAATTAGTCGAGCTACAAGTTTATTGTCACTTACCCTTTATGGTTGATATCATGAAATGTCAATTACTGATTTGTATTGCTCGCATGTACATTTTGCTAAGTTGGTTAAATAAATGTTTTATGTACTTTAGTTATTTGTGGTACAGATTGAGATGGCATCTTTGTTCGAGCACCATCTGAAGTAGTCAGTATTTTAGCCAATCTTATAGAGCTTTTGTTGGAACGGCATCTATTCCCGATTTTCATCTCCAGACTGCTTTGGTTGGAACGGCATGCTATTCCAGATTTTCATCTCCAGACTGCTTTTGTTGTAATTCAAAATATATTCTTATATGTTCTCAAACTATTAAGGCTGTGTTTTGATATTTAATGGTAGGTGGAATAGATGGAATGAAATGGAATAAAATAAAATAAAAAAATATCATTCTATTGTCCAGATATTTTATAATGGAGCAAAGTAAGTTTCCATTCTATTATTTCATTATTATAACCAATTATAATAAGTATAAATATTTTTATATTACCCTTATCACCAATAAATATGTTTGTATCTATACATAAAGATTATTCAAAACAATGTCAGACTCGACAATTATAAATAATAATATACATGACACAAAATGAATGCGCCATGACAGTGTAACACGTTTGAGATCCTTGCTTAATGCTTACCTTGTGCATAAGGTTCATGATGGTAAGAACTAGCAAGACATAAGTTTCATGAGCAAGGTTCTAATCCTGCTGTCACAAAATTCTCACGACCATGACCATGCCAAAGAACCAAGTCCAAAACATTGTCTTGACTTGTGGGACAGACATGTTTCTCTGAAACTTGGTCAGAATATATTAACCCTATCAGTGCAGAAGTTTGATAGTGATTTAGAAGTAGGCAAGGCACGTGGTAGTTTCTGTTTAGAAGAAGCACATAGAACTCCCTCGGAAATTAACTGATTTTGTTTGCAGGTTATGAAGAGTGAAGATGCAACGTAAATTGATTCTTTCCAAATGAAGGAAACATAATTTAGAAGATAAAGTATACTTATATTTGTTGATAAAAAAAAATTAGTTAAAATCTGTAGCCTTTTTATGCTTTAGAAAATAAAGTATAATTATATTCCTTGATTAAAAAATTAATAATTTTAACAATTTCACTTTCACCTGTACGTGCCTTAATTACTAGTTCAATTATTATTTTTTCAGTTCATTGCTATCATTACATTTTATCTCCCATAGGGCATCATCTCATTTCTAGAGAATGTTTGGCAAGTATTTTAAGTTATTTTCGAACTTTATTTTAGCTGAAAAATATGTTTGACTATATTAATAATGTTTGATATACAAATGTAGTTTATAGGGTTTTGTAAGATGCTAATTCAAGTGGTATTTTAATTTCTAATTTTTATATTTTATTCAAATTTTACACTTAAAATGTTTGTTAAATTTATTTTCTACTCCTTTTTACCTAAAATAAAATTTTATTATTCTTTATTAGGTTTCTATTTTCAGTCATCTGCACATCGGATGTTGTATTATATTATTTAAATTATTTTAAATTTTAATATTATATTTCAAGACATTGGTAATAGATTAAAATGACAATACTAATAAACATTGATATTTAAAAGTGTTGAGAGTGATGGTGAATGAAGAGAACATATTCCTTTTTCTATAATTTCTTTCTCTCTCCGAGAGCATCATTTTTACAAATAAATCATATATTCATAATCCTAAATTCATACAGAATCAATTAAGACCAATAATTCTCCAAACAGAAATAATTATAAAATTGCTCATAATCCTAAGGGATTCTTCCTCTACCCAATTCCCTCATGTAACTCTACATATAAATAATTTCATTTTCCCCCGTACCTGGATAAACAGTAGTTGAACTAAAACAGGAATCTCTTGGTCTCCTCCTCTAAATGCTCTTTGGTCTTCGGAGAGGAGAAGAGGGAAAGAAGACAGAATAGAAGATAATAAGAAGAGAGAATGAGAGATGTGTGAAAATGAGAGGCGAGGCCTCCTATTTATAGGAATCTGCCTCACTAACCCGGAACGGCCCGTTCCAAAAGTGGAACGGCCGCTCTGGACCCTCCAGAACTACGCAAAAATCTCAACTGGAACGGCCCGTTCCAAAATCGGAACGGCCTGTTCTCAATCCCAGCAGAACGGCCCGTGCCACTTCCAGAACGGCCCGTTCTCCAAACCAGAACGGCCCGTTCTCCCACCGGAACGACCCGTTCTCAACTACGTTTTTTAGGCAAATTCTTTATTCCAGAACAGCCCGTTTCACTTTTGAAACGGCCCGTTCCGGGCAACGAATTGGGCCCACGGCCCAGTGAAAATTGGGCTGTTACAATACTCCCCTCCTTTAAGAAATTTCGTCCCCGAAATTTTTGCAATGGTAGACTCCTCGCTTCTTACTTTCTAATTCTTATGCAACCTCACTACCTTATTGATGTACTACTCTATTAATTTCACCAAGGAATGTCTATTATCAACAAGGGTAAGACAAACAAACTTGGTGAGTCTATCCACTATAACCCAAAAAGAATCAATTTCTTAAGCATCTCAGACAAATCTATAACTAAGGTCTATCTACACACCATGTAGCTTCCAAAATGAGACGTCTAAAGGCTACAAAATTCTTAAAGACTTTGAGCATACTAAACACGAGTTCACAAATTACTCTATTCCTCTCTCCACCTAAGGCCACTACGCTTCCGCTGCGCCACTCTGATACATCTTAGTAGCTCTTAAATAAATGTTAAAAGTAGTCTTTTGTGCTTCCTCTACGATCATCTTCCTTAATTCAGGATTGCTAAGCACCCAAGTTTTGTTCTTGCACCTCAAAACAACTTCGATTTCTACTCAGAAATGGTTATCTATACTTCTACCAATCTTCTCCACTTGGTTCTCTAAGAAAGGATCTGACTCCTAGGCTTCTCTAATTTCATCCATTAATTCACTAGTCACTTTCAACATAATCAATTCAATGCTCCTAAGGATAATCTCACACACCAAGCATAAGTCTCAAAATTCTTCAATCAAATCCAACCCTTAAATCATCAAAATGATATACCAGAGGTCATCATAATCTTTGGTTGAGACTTAGTGAACTAATCCACTCATCCTTTGCACCATTGCAAGACAATTGTTCCCTTTTTGATTCACTTTTTGTGCAGATATAACTAACCCATATTTAGCTAACAATACCTTAATATACCTCATTTTTTGTGCAGGTATTGAGCTAGAGAATTGAGGATTGAAGATCCTTAGGATTGGAAATCTAAGGAGCTAAGGAACAGAGCAGAGTGGTTGCGCCGGGCGCAAGATGAACCGCGCCGGGCTTAAGAAGAACAGAGCATTCAATCTCTGCAAGTCACACCTGCTCCGGGCGCGAGACTACCCGCGTCGGGCGTGAGCGAGACAGAGAGTGCTTGAAACTCTTTGGAAGACATCACGCTGGGCGTAAAAGGAAATTGCGCCGGGCTTACACTGATGCAGGAAGTGCTCAGAAGACCCTGCACCGGGCGTAAAACCCTAATCTGATCTCCCAGGCTCGTATTTGAAGGCATTTTCGGGGACTCTTCTCTTCATTCACACATTGGGCGAGTTTTAGGAACTATGGAAGGGATTCCCGGAGCTTGGAGCCGTTCGTGTGTGGGTCTTTCCTTCGGTTCTTCATTTCTCCCTTCATCTCTATTTTGTATTTGCCCTCTTTGTTGAGTGGTTTCACCCATTTTTTGTGGGGTTAGATGTAACCAACAAATTCTATTGTAATCCTTACGTTTTTAATGATATATATACATGTTGTTTCATTCATTGTTGTGTATGTTTCTATTCTTAATGCTTGCTTTGGATTGAATCTCCTTGCATGATATAGGTTCCATTAGGTATTGGAAAATAACCTTTGAAACTAGCTCTGAAACAAATGCCTAGTGAGAAATGTATCTAGGAATGGAGTTTGGCCCATTAGTAGTCTTAAACCCTACCCCGTAATGCGGGTGTAGATATTGGGTACTCAAGGAATCGATATTCAATATCCGCATCTAGGCTCTTGCTCTAAGAGATTAGGTTTGAGTAAACTATTGGGTTGACTAAGCAATGAATTTAACAAAAGATTAAGGATTCATTAGTTTGACGTTTGGTGAAATCTGACCCTACAATCTCACAAAACCATAATATCATTTCTACCTTTTCCACTCACAAACCAATATTTATTTATAGCTTTCATTCCAATAGTCTTAACCTTGAAATCATTTCACAAACTATGAAATTGGAATTATTCTTTAGTCACGAATAGTCATTAAATGCTTATGTTACCTTCTAATCCCTGTGGATACGATAATTTTACTACTTAAACGACCGGTATACTTGCCGTGTTTGAGACCGTTAACAAAATAAAAAGTAATTTAAAGTGATAACAAAAGTGATTTTAACGGAAATCTCAACAAGTTTTTGGTTCTTTATGTTATGCTTCAACCTCTAGGCCCAAATAGAAATTTGATCCTAGGTCTAGAGAAGGAGTTTTTCTCGGCTATCAATTTGGCATAAAAGGCTATATTATTTTAGACTTACAAAATAAAGACATTTTTGTCTCTAGAGATGTTATCTTCTATGAGTCTCATTTTCCTTTTAATAACAAACACGAAGCCCAAGAAAAAGAAAAGTTATTTCCTCCACAAATAAAGACATTCCATGACTTTGATCCTCTCCATTTTACACCTCAGGACCAACTTCCATCACAAACTCCCATTTCACCTCAAACTTTACCTTCCCCAACAACCTCATCCTCTCCACAAATTTTGCCATCAACTTCTCCATCCCATTCAATCTCGCCACATATCTCTTCATCACCATCCAAACCCTATTCCTTTCATACCAAGACGAACCACTCGTGGCTCTAAACCCAATGTTCGACTTACGGATTTTGTTTGCTACAACATAGAGACCAAACCAAATCAATCATCATCAACGTGCAGGTATCCTATTCAATCTGTTATTTCTTCCATTACTGAGTCTGTGCATCATTATGTCATGAACCTAACTTCTGAGATTGAGCCCTGAAGCTATCAAGAAGCAATTTTGAAGCCGTGTTGGAAAGAAGCCATGAAGGATGAAATTGAGGCTTTAAAGTTGAACAAAACTTGGGAGATTGTTGAAAATCCTAAGCATGTCAAGCCTATAGGATGTAGATGGGTTTACGAAATCAAAAGGAAACCAGATGGGAGTGTGGAACGATATACGGCGAGGCTTGTTGCGAAAGGATTCTCCCAAGTGGAAGGGATAGACTTCTTCAAGACCTTTTCTCCAGTGGTTAAAATGGCTACCATATGAGTTATCCTTGCCCTAGCTTCCATAAATAATTGGGAATTGCAGCAATTGAATGTTAGTAATGCCTTTTTACACGGTGACTTGTCCGAGGAGGTTTACATGAAGATTCCTCAAGGTCTATATAGGTATGAATCCTCACAGTGTTGCAAGCTCAAAAAATCTTTCTATGGGCTAAAACAAGCAAGTCGAAAATGGTATGAGAAACTCTCTAACCTTCTTCTCTCATCTGGTTATTCGCAATCACATGTTGATCACAACTTGTTTATCAAGCATGAAAAAGGGGAATTTACTGGTTTATTGATATACGTTGATGATATTGTTTTAACTAGCAACTCTCCCACTGAAATAAGAAAGCTCAAGCATATGCTTCAATCCAATTTTTGAATTAAAGATTTGGGGGAACTCAAATATTTTCTGGGATTAGAAGTAAGCAGGTCTGATGATGGAATCTTTGTATCTAAACGAAAATATTGTCTTGAGTTGCTTTCAGATTCAGGATTATTGGGTTGTAAACTAAGTTCCACTCCTATGGATAGCTTTCTTCTTTTAAAACAAGCTAATTCAAGTGAATTACTTGATGATCCCCTATCCTATAGGCGCCTCATTGGTCGTTTGATTTATCTCACAACGACTCGTCCGGACTGTTAAGTCTCAATTATACTTCTTTTTGGACAAGACTTATTGAACAATTCCACTCATCCTTTGCACCATTGCTAGATAATTGTTCTCTTTTTGATTCATTTTGTGTGCAGATATAGCTAACCCAGAATTTAGCTAACAATACCCTAATACACCTCATTTTTTGTGCAGGTATTGAGCTAGAGAATTGAGGATTGAAGACCCACAGGAAAAGTACAAAACCATATTGTCATATTAATCAATATATATCAACAACATGTAACATGTTTGATATACTTACTTGGGTGTACCTCAGTAGTTTTACCCTTCTTCAACTTCACTCCTAACTCTTGTTGATAAGTAGTTGGTCTATGGAGTACAAGTCATTGTCCCTAACCTCCCTATGCTTTCGATTGTATATCTTTGGTCTTAGCCTTTTGAATAGATAAAATCAAAGATTGAATTTCAATTACATGAATTATTTAATATTGTAATTGAATACATATTCACATTTTTATATCCGAGTCAAATTGTATCTGACTTGTTAACCCTTTAAAATTGTTTCAGTAACATAAATAAATAAATAACTCTTTCAAATTGTTAAGAGTTACTACTTTATGATTGTCAACATCAAGAAACTTTAACCGTTATATGGAGTTAGAATTATGATTAATCGACCGAATAAGGGTATTTTTTAAAACGAAAAGAATTTCTAAAAAATATAGACTGAATTTCATTTTTAATCCATATAGTATTATAATTATGTAATTTTGCTTCTTAAAATTTTAATTAATCAATTTTAATCCTTTATATATTATAATTGAGTATTTCGATTTATCATATTTGAATCTCTCAATAAATATAGTAATTATAAAATTTGACCTATTTTAGCTACATATATATTATAATTTTTTTAAAATATTAAATGATATATATTTATTATGACTAAAATTACTAATATATGTAATTTAAATAGTTAAAAATTTATATAATTATAATACTTGAAAGAGGAAAATTACACAATTACAGTACTTTAAGAACTAAAATTGTTCGATTAAAAATTAAGAGATAAATTGCACAACTATAATATTTGTTAAAATAAAACTACTTAATTAAAATTTAATAGATTAAAATCGTACAACTATTATATTTGAGAATAAAAAATTGTATTTGATATGGAATCTTTATTGACATGTTAACACAAATTTTATCAAATAGATGGACAACTTTTAGGTTACATAAATTTTATCATTTCTTCTGTTATATATATAAAGAAAGGGTTAATCCCTTTTGGTTCCCTAAAAATTCATAATGAAAAATGGCATGTGTAGAAATATGTTAAGTTCATGAAACTATAAAAACTAGTGTTCCCTATATGGTAATTTTATGTCAAAATAGTGTTCGTGTTTAGGATTTTGGGTTTAGTGGTCTTGAATTATTTAATTTCTAATTTGGGAAAAATTAAGCAGCCCAATTTTTATTTCATGATTGTCTACTTCATTTCCTCGTACTATCTTTAAACTAAATCAAATGAAAGAGTATCAATAAGAAAAAATATTAACAAAATTGATAAGGCCATAAATTTTATTTAACATATTTTTAAGGTAAAATTCATACACAAGAAGATGAAATCCTTCATTGCTCTCACTCACATTGGGTGATTGCATCTCATAACTTGGTTACTCAATTTGGGGGTGCATGAGTATGATGAGTATTATCATTAAAATAAGGTCTTGTGCATTGACAAAAGGTATCGATACATTTGCAACCACATGCAGCAGCACAAGGACGTAATTGGCATGATTCGTCTGAAGAACAATGGAGATGTACAATGGGTCCCCTTGCTTCTAATTTCAAGCACATATCTGCATACGCAAATAATACATTGCCATAAAAACAGTTTTTGAAAATAACATGGTTCATATGAAAATCACTCAATAATAACTCAAATAAGAAGATGAAAATAAGGCAACATTTCTAACCTGATGCAATGATGAAGAAAGTCAATAACAATGCTAGTGGGACAACTGATTTCCTTGTAGTGTCCATCTTAATAACTTCTTGTAGGAACGTCTTCTTCAATAGAATATATATACATATAGGGAAGAACTTCTTCCTTAAAATAAACTGTTATTATAAAATAAACTGTGTTATTAAAAATAATTGAAATCAACCAAATATAGCAAAATAATTAATATCTTAATAATTAGTAAAGACGTTTTAGATCCTATACCTTAATAATTTATAAAACTTTTATAATGTAAATGATTACAAATAACTATTAGATATCTATTTTGAATATTATTAATTAAAAAAATGACTTTATTTTTAATATTTAGACAGAATCATCAAATTTAATTAGAATTAATTATTTTAAAAAAATATTTTGAAAGAAACAACTAAATTAAAATAAACAAAATCTATATCATTAATCAAATTAGATTTTTAAAATATAATTTTTAAATAAAATTATTCTCTTAAAGTATGTTTTTAAAAATTATTGAACAGTTATGTAAAATATTTATATTAATTGTAAATATTTGACAGAAAGAAAATTGACTTAAAAATTCACGTTATGAACAATTTTATAATACAAGTAATTTAATTTGTGAATAAAATATAACATATTAACAAAAAAAAACAACTAATTTAAAAATTTTTACAAAAAAAAATATTAATTTAAGCATATTTCTTTTAAAATTTACGTAAAAAAACTAAAAATATTTTAATGTGTATACAAAACGAACAGCTTCTATAATATTTTTTTCTCCTAAAATTCCCTACCTAAATATTCAACATATATATAATATAGAATGAAAATTAAAACTATTATTATATAATTACACATCAATATAGGAAACTCTAAAAACATCATAAAAGATTATTATTATATAATTAGTCCTTAGTATAAAAAACCGTAACAACATCATAAAGATTAATTATTACAGTTTTAAAGTAATATATTATGAATAAAAAATTACATAATTTGAATTAAAATCAGTTATTGCATTAAAGTTAATGTAAATATTTGTATTAATTATGACAAAAAAAAAATTTGATTAAAAATAATGTTATGGACAATTTTAAAATACAAGTAATTTAAATCATGAAAATAATTTATGACAAATTCACATTTCATATTATGAACAATTTTAATATACAACTAATTTAAAACTTTAAAAAAATACAAAATATTAATTCAAAACATATTTCTATCAAAATTCACATAAAAAGTTATCAAAAAATAAATGTAATGGCATAATGAAACTTAATTATAAATAGTTTTAAAACAAATATAATTAATAAAAACACAAAAACAAAAAATTTACATATGTGGAGATTTTCATTTCTTTTGATATATATAGAGAGAAAATTCAAACAACATCGATGTAACTTTTACTAAGTCTTACATCGCTCAATAACTTTATATTAAATGTGAATTTTATAAATTCAACTGTTAGATTGAAAGCTTTTTACTCTTAGATCATATATACAAATTTTTATATATTAATCTGAGATGATTTGATACTTCATTGTTATAAAATAAAATTGACGTAATATATATATTTCAAAATATAATAAAATATGAAAACTTTGATTACTTTCAAGTTGTTGTTCAATTTTAACAAAATTTGATATAAATTCAACGATTGGATTTACAAAATTCACATTTAATATAAAGTTATTGAGCGATATAATATTCAGTAAAAGTTACACCGGTATCGTTTAAACCCTCCTAATATATATATATATATATATATAGGAGAAATCTGTTTACACTAGAAGTAAGTCTACCTAGACTTACTTCGTTTAATAACTCATGTTCTATATTAAATTTCAACGATCCAACCGTTGAATTTAAAATTCTTAATGCATAAATCAAATCTGCAAATTTTTAGAAAATTTAAAAATTATTTGATACTTCATTTCGTTAATTCAAATTGACGGATAATCATAAAATTATTTTATATATAGATTTGAATTAATGAAACGAAGTATCAAATGGTTTTCAAATTTTTAAAAATTTTGTAGATTTGATCTATGCATTAAGAACTTTAAATTCAATGGTTAGATTGTTAAAATTTGATGTAAAACATGAGTTATTGAACGGAATAAGTTTAAGTAGACTTATGGATCTCTTCTCATATATATATATATATATATATATATATATATATTTCATTAGCAAACACAATTTATTTTAACCTTTCATTCCTTTTTTTGTCAAAAAAAAACTTTTCGTGCTTTTTTGTTCACACTCTAATATAATGTATAATTGTATTTTACTTGCTCTTTTTTTTCTTTATTTTGCTATCTAACATCGTAGATATCACACTTTATATCTCACTGCCATAAATAAAAAATATTATAATGTGTTTCAAAGTTTAGGGATTATGGTATTTACTTTTCAGATTAGTTTTTTCTTTTGAACTGTTCTCACAAGTTATTCATTAAATGTTGAAAATCGCTTATTTTTGTTACATAATGATGAAGATGATGATGATAAAGATTGAAGGAAAGAACTTCTTCCTTAAAAAATTCCCTTCAAAAACTCCTATATTTTCTATGTATAAATGATATTATAAAATAAATTGATATTAAAAATAATAAAAATCAAATAAATATATAAAAATAATTAATACCTTCATAACTAATAAAGAGGTTTTAGGTTCTACTTTAATAATTAATAACTATTTTATAATGTAAATGATTACAAATAATTATTAGATATCCATTTAAATATTATTGCTTCAAAAAATAAATTTATATTTTTTAATATTAAAATAAAATCAACAAAATTAAAAGAATAAAAAATTAATAATTATTAATCTTTATTAATTTTTTGTTCAATATTATTAATAATTACTAATTATTTTTCTTCCAAAATTATTCTTTTATATATATATATATATATATACATATATATAT